GTTACAGAACCCTTTGTCTGGCCCTCGCTGCGCCGAGACACCTTGAGGCTACATTTGGCTACAGACTCAAATGTGGTCTAATCTACCGCATGTAAATTACCATAAAATACGCATAAGCTAAAAGAAGATAGCACGAAATTACATTGCAGTTTTCAAATTTTATATACAACTGGCGGTTTTAATAATAAAATTTTGTAACAGGGTGGTCACTCGAGCGTATAGCGAAATTTTTTAAAATAAAAAAAAGTTGTAACTTCCATTTGCGTAAAATTTAAACATCCCACGATAAATACACTGGTTGCAAGGTAATCAAGCGACAAACGAATAAAAAAAGCTACAATGAAAATATCGATTGCTCTCAGCATGGTATCGGGCATCGGCAATCACATTCGCTGGATAATAAACATGTTTTAGTGAACCTTTATTGTTTCGTTTACTCATTTTCTTATTGTGAATTCACACCAATTGTAGTTATTATTAGGTACTTGAATATTACAGAGTTGAATCTTATAGATAGCTTTGAACTGTAGTGAAATAAGAATAATGGGTAAAACATACTTAAAAGGAAAAGTAACATGATACGGCTTTCTAAAAATCTGTAAAGGTTCGCTTTAAGAATGGTCGTAACTTTGATACAAATGAACTGGGAATAAATCAAGAGTTTATTGATCTTCAAAAGCCTTAACTATCTGTTTAAACTTTTAAGCAGAGTAAGGTTGACGTCATCTAAAACATTTTTAATATCAACACTTTAAATCAAAGTTCAGACTACGGAATATACATTATAATAAAATATCAAGAATTTTACCATACGATCGATAACTATACTTTTCATTCTCAAAATGTGTATAGTATTCGTAACGCAATATACAATCTATCAAAGATGTTATATCTTCTAACAATGCAACATAAACCATCAACCACACAATATCCGCTGGTTACCCATCCCATCTGTACGTCGCAAAGATTCCCGCTCTATCGTCGGCGCAGACGCATCCAAGAGGCGGAACTCAAGTAATAGGCACATTCCTCGGACAAGCCTGTGAACGCTCAGAATCTCCGAATGGCTTAGGAAACCATTAGCAACGGCGGTTCCGCGTCCCCATGATAATTTATGATAATATTGGATGTTTTTCGTCGATAAGATGATATTTGAATGTACTTACTTTTTAAATATTTCTTATTAAAACTTTGTACATTTAACGCTCGTTCGATATCCATAAAATGCATTCATACAACATACACGTCTTAAAATTAACATTCGAAAAAGCCCACGTAATAACTTAAGTGTATCATAAATAATATTTTCACAAATCCGTATTACGTGCCTGTTAAGGCATAAATCATTAAAATAACAAAACTTAAGACTGCAAATCTGTGGTAATACCCATTTTATCGTAACAAGTAACAACGGTCCTTAGAACCGGATTTCCTTTTACGGCTATCGTAACTTATATCTAAGATTTAGAGCAGCCGTGTCTAATGCATAATAGGTCTATGGTAACATTAGAAAGGGCAAAGCTGTGGTTAGGACTGGAAAACTGTATAGGAATGTAAGGATATCGTGACCAGAAGTCCCGCTTCGGTGAGACAGTCCTGTTTTAAAACAACACGTTTTGTCTTCTATTACACTTTCTAGGGAAGTTGAACACGTAATTACAAGGCTTTGTTTCGGTAAGACGAGCTTAAAACTGCAGCGCTTACTTACTGCCTGTTTGTAAGTATAGTCACTCACCTGCACAGTACTTGTGCATTAGATGCCGTGTGTTCCAAACTTGCAACTGAAATACTAACAGAACGTTCAAAGTTTGTATGAAAAATCATTGTTACGTCTTAGAAATTGCCGACAATTTGCATTTTGGTAACTTTCGATATATTGGCACATAAAGTTTCTTTTTATCCTTTGAAAAATGCCAATACGCTAATTTTGCTTAATGATAAAACTAAAACTAATAAAGGTAGAGAGAAACCGTTTAATATAGGAGGTTGTAGATCTCGTTTTTTTTTTCTTCAAAAATGTCGATTACGTTAGTTACGATAAAGAAAGCAGAATTGAGCCGCAGACCGGTACAAAAGTTTCGCGTGTATTTTGTTAAAATAACTTCAAAATACAGACTAAATCTTTTTTTTATAATATCAAGTGACGGGACGAACAAGTCGTGCGCCTGATGATAGGTAAGCTACACGCCTGTCCATAACAGTTGCAGTGCCACTCAGAGCTTTAAATCGCAAAGATCTGAAGGGCACTGCCATTGCGCCCGTCACCCTGAGAATACATTGACAAGTCCCATGTGCCTGTAATTTCACCAGCACCCAAACGCTTAAAAAGAAGGAGGTTCTCAATTCGACTGTATGTTTTTTTTGTATGTATGTTACACGATAACTTCGGTATTTGTGAACCGATTTTCATGATTCTTTTTTCCCTCCATAGTGGCCACATTTAATTTTGAAGAAAATCATCCACTCTAATGGTGACTGTACACGCATGGATTCATTTTTATAAATAGCACCTAAATTTTATTATAAAGAGCAATTATTTTAATGGTTGATTTTGCTATTCTCCAATTCAATTTCTCTCAATATACTTTGAGTAGTGAGAACCATAGATATAGAAAAAAGTGAGAACCGATTTTTATTATCTCCTGTGTCAAGTCCCGTATAGTGGCGAACTCGGGGATGAATCCGGGTTTGCGCACTTTCTGGTAACCGATTTCAATAAAACTTGGTAATTATATGTAAGTCCACGTACTTTTGAGGTCGGTTTTTTTAGTACTCTATACTGAGATTATTAATCACTTCAAATTAACTGCCTCCGTGACCGAACGGATTCCCCGGCCGGGAGAAATATTTGTATGGTCTACGTTTATTTCTCTGGTGAGTTTGGGTGTAATTTGTGGTTATCTATGTGTATATCCATGGTACCCAAGGCCCAGGGTTTCCAGTGCGAGGCTATGAGCATGTGCATTAAAAGAATTGTTTAATAGTATCAAAGCAAAATTAATATTTAACACCATCTAACACTAAACCGGTTGGCTCAAAAAGGATATACCCGTGACATCATATCCTACCGAAACTCAGAGAAAGACAGTTTCCTTTAGGATTGGACGCCACTTGTCAATACTATACAGACGTATATTTTTTGAAATTTATCGTCTTCAGCGTGCTTCAGCTACTTTCAAGTTCGCGAACTCTGTAGGATTTAAAACTAAAATCATACTGCAAAAGATAACAAAATGGCTGCCTTGATACAAAAGTTCTAAAAATGAAAATCACACAATAGCTTTACTTGTTTAAGTAGAAGCACATTAGGTTTACATAAAACTGTTCATGGTATTTACAACTGACATAACAATAAAAGTAACGCAGATAAGGAACTAGGTTCTAAAAGTTGTAGGTACACTAGTTCCAAGGCTTTGAAAGACATTTTATAGGTGCCATAAACAGAAACGAACATGAAGTAGTCTATACTAACGTTACTGAAAGTAATTTTAACTAGACAGTAACTAAATAAATTAACTTGTGTGAAATGTAATTAAGCCTTGAATAGACAATATTTTATATTAGAAATTATTTAGTTCATATTCACTGGTTAATAGGACTTTGCTTATTATCTAACATTAAATTATGATTTAAAAAGTCTTCTAAATAGATATTCGTAGGTGACTTTATAAAGTATAACCAAGAAACGAAAGGGTCATTCCATGTCGACCCGTGGGGTAAACTCCTAGAGGATGGAAGAGCCATAAGAGGGTTAACTCGGGAGACAGGCGTATGATGGTGGAGTTTCTAATGGCTCTGTTATCAAGATTAAAAGCCTGCTGCGTGTGCAGATCTAGGAATTTTTGGAGAAAACTGCCAAAAATATAAAATTGATGTGAATCGTCACACTTACAATAATTTTTAAGAACATTAAATTAGACATCAATTTTTGGTTTTCATAGTAAAATACTGAATTTATTTTATACAAACAAACACTACATTGCGTGTCAAAAAGCAATTTATTATGATCTTGTAGTGTAGATAAGCCTAATTAATCTCGCTACGTGTAAGTCAGTTCTCAATGTTATTATGCAATCTTCTTCATCTATAAATAATGATTTCACCCATAATTACGAAAAGAAAGACATTCCAAAATTTTAAATAAACAAATGTTATTTCATGACGTTAAAAATATGGCGGGTTTTTGTAGTTAAAATTTTTCCACGAGTTTGTTTTGAGTTTCATAATTGTTCTTTTGAAGATGGATGCTTTGACCTATGGTAGGTCAATGGCTGTATGACTTTCTAGTCAATTTTTATGTACTGCGAAAATTATTATATATACCTACATATTTTTCCGGCTTCGCAACCCGCCTTCAACCTGCATTTCACCGATTTGTATGGGAAGCGGGAAGTATACATAAATTAAAATACATCTGAATATTGCACAGCAGTTGTTTATTGTAATTATAAAAACGGCACGTTAAGACGTTACGGCTAATAAAGTTTTACTAATTACGTGAAGTAAAGTAACAAATATGTTTAAATGACGACGTAAGTGATATGATAGCTCTAAATCAACTACCTACTACTTTCCATTAACGGCTTGTGCTTTTTTCAAGGGAAGCATATACCACACCACACAGTCAGAATTAAGAGCTCATGTCGTCAAAAAGTTTTGTGAACCTATATGTTTTTCGTCTTCATGTTTACCTTAACCTCAAAGAAACAATTTTACAAATGTACGATTTTTAATTATTGGATAGTTAGGTAAGCAATCGTATAAGTACGTAAATTACAGGTGCTGTCAACATCCTCTAATATATTATTTCATGTAACTATGCCAAGTGCAAATATCACGAGGTCACAAAATATTAGGCAAAACTCGCAACAGACCGTAACACTAATGAATGACTTACAAACTATTCTCGAAGTAGGTTTGGCCATCGAGTAAGAACAATTATAGACCACAATACTATTACAACAGTTAGTTTATTGTAAAATAATAAAAAAAGAACAGACCTTTAATTAAGCACGTTTTCCAAAATAGAAATATGTTGCAAAGAACAAAAACCACAGAAACTGTTATGTTATAAATTTATGAAACACTAGTAACGGGCACTGCACAGTTCGCGATCGAATGATAGCCGCAACGGGCGACATGCGCACACGCCGACCGTTCCGCGCTGACTGCTGCGCGGTGAACGCGTGACCTTCCTGCCCACAGAACCAGGCGAACGAAACCTCTTTTCCTTTTACAGCTTCGAAAATCTCGACCTTGTGAGATATGAAAAAGAAAATGCCTTTTCTTATAACGTCTTCATATTTGGATCGAATGACCAAACTTTAAGTATCGCGAAAGGGGCGTAAATACTTATTAGAATTTCTGCCAGTTTGCTTATGAACACCCATCCCCACAAAATAAAAAAATCTAGTACTGGATTGGATTCTAAATAATAGATTTTTATTACTACTTTTATTCATTTTTATTCATTATGCTCAAGAAAAAAGTCACAGGTTTATTAAACCGTAAAATATCAGCTATCAAAAGTTTTTGTCCGATGGCTTATAAGTAATCAATTGTTGTACCTGCACTTATCTTTTTTATTAATATAAAATATCGACAATGTATTGATCATACAACCTTTCACTACATAGTAACCCTTAAATGAAGGAAAAAATAAACGTAGTAACCTCAAGATCAAATGATTATTTATTTTTTTAATATCAACAGCTATATCAAAATAGTACGTTCGTGTAAAGGAACGTTTGTGGGTGACCATAGTATAAACCAAGAAATTATATAAGTTTAATACTTAATCAGTCTCTCTTGCCATTCAAGCATCAAATTCAATCAATTGATTTATTTTGGAAATAAAGAAACCATGATCTGATAAAAAATTGATGATTTAATTGTAATGCTATAACATGAAGTATTTTTCAACTTAGAACACCGCAAGTGCATCTGTCAAGGTGACAGCAAACAGGCTAAGGTCAACAAATTTTCAAAACAACAAAATTTCTTGTTTTTCTCCAGTTTACTGATCCAGAATTCTATTTTCTTTATTTACAACAGTACTTATAAGTTGAAACTTTTCTCATAATCTCAAATATGCACTCGTTGAAACGGTTGAGTTGGACAATTGGTAAATATTTAGGTTATTTTTCGTAAAACCATCATTCGGTTAATTACTAAGGTAAACAATGGTTTTCAGGCAAAGTGCGTAGCAAAAATGTTGTTAAATCTACATTTGAGAGTCAGTTACGCTGTATAAGTAAGATGGAAACGCCTCAGGGCCAAAAAGAACAACCAAGAATCAGTCTCTCCATACCTACAGGGGAAATGGGACAACCTACATGTCACACTCATCCGCACTTAATACCCGCGGGCCAGCTGACTTGTGGAGTGTCTCAAGCGGAATATGTTAATCGTAGAGACTTTTTTGTAAGAAAATTACAAATGGAAATGGAGAATGAGCATCTCAACCATGTTGTAAGTTTATTTTTGGTTATTTTTCTTGTGATGATGTTAATTAATACTAAACTAGACAATTGAAAAGTGAAAAATTTATCTAAATGAATAAAAGCTCGATCTTTGAATTAATGATTATAGTAAACCAGGGTGTAATTTCACAAAAAAATTGGATATCATGGTAGTAAAATGTGGTGATAGTAAAAAAAAAATCATAATACAATATATTATTAAAGCGACATCTCTAGTCAGCCGCTGGTAACTCTCAAGGTACCTGGCTGAGTGACGAAAAGCTTCATAGATTTCTCACAGATGGTGTTATGGCAAAAAAGGTATTAAAAGAACCAAAAACAAAGATTGCAGCAAGCACATAGAAAAATTAATTGGTTCTGCTAATTCGTACCACAGCTTAGTTGGGAGAGTGTCTTACTAGTGTGGTGAAGGCAGTGGCTCAAATCCAGCTGGATTGAATGCGTTTTTGTCTGTGGTCATAATTATAACTAACTATTTGAGTTATTTCACAATAAAACATTTTAATCATGATAGTAAAACCCATGTTAGTCAATAAACTTCATATTAAATGGATAAAAACAGGTTTTTTTAAAAAAAATTTTCTAACAAGAGTCAACTTTTTCGAAATAAACAGCATGACACTTAAACTGAATGACGTACATAATATAGAACTTGATACTGCAACCTGAAATCTATCTTGTGAAAGTAATTTAAATTCATAATGTAACTGTAGGTAATCCAACAAATAACAGTAGAAAACACAGTGACCTACTAACAAATGGACATCAGGTCTGATACAAAAACTACGAAAAAAATGTCCGAAGTTAACCTATACAAACGTAGTGGCAAGTAATGAAATATAAAAAAACTAAAGCATTTAATTTAAATTGTAACATCATTGCAGTACTGCCTCATTTAGCTTGCAACAATTTAAAGAGCCCGAAAACACCATATTCAGCTTCTACTGGAAGCTTAACAAAATGCACCATATTTGGCTTCGACTGAAAATTACTTGAACACAAGAGTAATGGTTTGGATGGAAACGTTGGTTTCAAATAAATATACGCGATTTAAATCCGGAAAAATAGTTTCATTTCCTATAAACTTTCAAGTATTTTTTGTACTATGTGACACTTTTTAGACTATATCTGGTAGCACAGATTACTTAATAGTTACTACATAACAGATACATCACTCTCATACAAAACCAAAAATACCTATGCCACAATGGCCTACTAAATCTGCCTTATGACACCTGGAGCTCACTACAAGGAAAATGGAACCCAAGCATGTGCTCAGAGAGGTGAAAATAATGTTGCCCGCCATTTTCTATCATATAGAACCGAATGCTAGGGTTGTACAAGGATTGTAATGTAAATGAAAGACTTGTCTGAACTTGCACTCGGCGATACACTCAGCGGTCGGCGTTTATCGCGTAACCTTGAACGAGTGACTAAAGTCCTGCTGGTAGTAAGGTAGTAAGTTCAAATACTTAGTAATTCATACTGAACTTGCAGATCGTTATCCCAGCTGCAGCGAAGCAATACATGACAGAGAAGATCCCATATACGTTCCGTCAGAATTCAGATTTCTATTACTTAACGGGATGCATGGAACCCGGCGCTGTACTAGTTATCATCAAACCAGCACAGACTGACAACTACCAAGTGAGTATGTTGTAACATTTGTATAAAATCTTAATTTTTAAAGTTCTTAGAAGATTCTTTTTTCTTAGTTCTTACTGTGCACTTTCAATATTATGTGTTATTATATTTTTCACACTCCTGTTCCTCCTTTCTATCTTTTCTATTTAAGTGTGTAATATTGATTGTAATGAATACTATGATGTTTTTCCATAATATTCGGGTATTTTTTAATTATTAATACGAAGATTAGTTAGACAGTTTTTCTTCACTTAACCAGCATGAGCTTAGCATGAGCCTGAAGACAATTTATAATTTAAGTTTGTATTTCTTATAATTTGACTTACCTATAGACAATTGTGTGATGCTATCTTGGTGAATAAATATGTTGAACTTACTTTTATGGAGACTTTATAATTGCAACACAAATCTCACAATCAATCATATCAAAACCATAACATTAAGTTTTTCTTCTATAGACAATACTGTTCGTGCACGACAAAAACAGCCACGACGAGATGTGGGAAGGTCCTCGTACTGGCTGCAATGCTGCAGCCAAACTTTTTGCGGTCCACGAAGCGAGACCTATTGAAAGTTTTTCTAAATATCTTTCGAGGTAATGTCTTATGTTAGCGGAAACACACAACAAGAATAAAACCATCAAGCTATTACCTACTTCACCCGTCACATCTCAATGTACAATCGTTAAAGACACACGGTGTCAGTAACTATTTTAGTACTGTAGCGTTCTAGGCCACATGGTGTCTCTAACACGCAGTTGTTTTTAATTCTGCCTTCTGTTTTTTTCTAATAATTATGTCACTTTAAAATGGCATGATTTAGTTCCGCCTTTCCATTTTCATCACCGGGGGACTAGACGTATGTTGGGGTTCCACCCCTATGTTGAGGATATTCCAAGGATTCGCACGAAGAGTTTGAAAACACAGATATTTGAAGTCTAGAAAAATGTCCAACGGAACAGGCCGGTTATTACATTAGGGCGCGTTCCCACTATGTCGTCACGTTTTATTTATCGTTGGACGACTGTCGCGCTAGCCTGTTCCCAGATCACGACTATCGGTCGTGGCTGTGCCGTGAACGACAATGTTATCGTTTCACGGCAACCGCCTTGTCGTTTGCACGACAGAGTTGTTTGATGCACTGCAGTTGCTGTTTATGTTCTTTTGGAAGTCAGTAGCGAAAACATCGCTCCCGTGTGAAATGAATGAAGATGAAATTATAATAATGTATTACTTTTTAAAAAGGCGGAAGAGGAAACAAACGAAGTAAAGAAAGTATTGGGTACATCCAATATTATTAAAAAGAATTCCATTGGGATTATGTCAAACGTTTATACATGAACTGAAATGTGATGAGAGAAATTTTGGGACGATTTGAGAATTATGTATAATAATGGTGTACAATATTATGAAATGTCACAGATTAAAATTAAATTGCATTACAATATGAAAGAAAAAAATTATTACTAAACATGTCACATTGCTAGTCACCAAATTTGTCATTGTCGTCAAAAAACTCTTGCACACTATTATAAAGTTTAGTACTCAACAACAACAACAACAAGAGCATTTTTAAATGTTAAGTAATCGAATTTTTTTAAATTAATTGAGGATGCTGTTGTATATCTTGACCGACATTACGTAAAAGCTTCTGTGGTAAAATGCTGAGGTATGATTGCCCGAGTAAACCATTCAATTTCTGAATTGTTTCTGGTTCCGAATAGTATAGCATAGCATTATAACCTTATGTCACTATGAATATAACTCGTGTATATTTTTATTAATACATTAATTTATTTATTTAACAGGACTGTATCAACGAAGCCATGTGTTCTTTGGTACAATCGAGAGACTGCGTCTAATCCGGAGATCGTTACAATCGTCTGTAAAACCTTAGAACAAAATGTAAGTAAAATCTATATTTTTTTGTTATATGAACCGCTTTATATGATAATTGTGAACACCGTTTATTATATATAGGCCATACAAATATTTCTCCCGGCCCGGGAATCGAACCTGGGACCTCGTCGTGGCAGTCCGGCGTGGTAACCGTTCGGCCACGGAGGCAGTTAACTTGTTTGTTCTTATAATTAACTATAGTAGTGTCATGATAGGTTTCGGGTTATTTTAATAACCCTGTATGAAAAATAAATGTTTGTAAATTTTGTAGACCATGCGATGGGGCGACCCCCAACGCGTACTGCACTTCATGCGGGTTATAAAATCACCAGCAGAAATCGAGCTTATGAAAGAGACTTGTTGCATAGGCGCGCAGTCAATCAACATGGCTATGGCTTGCACTAAACCCGGTAAGTTAATTCTTAGCAACCTCAGTGTACTTAAAGCTATAATCTGTCTTTTTGAAGACGGAGTAAAATGACAGTTCATTGCGTAAAGGTGGTGCCTGCTTGCGAGCAGCTAGAGATTGCAGTCGATAAATATTCTATCGATTATCGATTGCATATCGGTCACGCATATGGAATAAATAGCCGAACTTGTTTCATTTGAATCGTCCTCGATCCATTATTCATCCAATTACTGAGCATAAGTTCATTTGAATTGTCAATTTTTGTAATTCATACATACATACACTATATTTACAACTATGTTTATGAATTAAACCAAGGAGGAGACATATTTCAAAGTTTTTCATTTTAATTCAATATAGATAATAAAGTCCACCTATTCTTGTTAAAATGTATATAAATAAAAGTTTTTTTTTTTATAATATCAAGTCGTGCGTGCGCCTGATGGTAAGCCACACGCCACTCAGAGCTTTAATTCGCAAAGATCTGAGGGGCACTGCCACTGCGCCCGTCACCCTGGGACATAAGTTGACAAGTCCCGTGTGCCTGTAATTTCACCAGCACCCTTACCCTTCAAAACCGGACCACAACAATGGTGACATTACTACTGCTTGGCAGCAGAAATAGGTAAGGTGGCAGAATAAGAAAGAAAATTTCATGAAAACTAGCAACCCTATAAATGTCATTTTACTCCATCTTTTTTAAAAAAAGACAGATTATACATCTGCAAAATGACAAATTTTCGAAAGGGAGGCATAAAGATTCTACCAACGAAATTAGTTGGTGACTTTTTTATGCTTATATAAGTGTTGTAAAATGTCACATACACCTAATTTTTTTTTCATTTAGTGTAGTATTGTTTTTATTACTTTCATGTGATAGCAAGCACTATTTAATTGACGTATGATTACTTGTGCCTTTAGTATATTCGATCAGACTTTGGAACGCACTTCCTATTACTGTTCATGATAGTAAATCCTTAGCTATTATCAAAATGAGAGTTAAGTAGCACTATTTATCTACTGTACCATCCACTTTATAGTTATTATAGTACGAAATAAGTATTTGTATAGTTTTAATAATTTAACTTTTTTTATATTGTTTTTTTTATTTTTATTATTACATAATTTTTGTCTTGTTGTGTACGTAAACCCATTATTGGAATTATAGTCTCCAGTTCGGTATTTAGGTCTGCAGGAAGAAATTTCTGTATGAAATAAGCAGTACCTTTTGTTTGTTAAGCCAAAAATGTACGAATGGAAAGAAATTGTCAATATTGAGTGACTAATATTTCATACAACTTTATTTTAAAGTTCTTTTACAGCGCGCAAATACAGTCATTATAAAATTTAATATTAGGGCACTATTTAATTCGTATTTCTGTATTATTTCTCGTATACTAGTTAATGAGATGAAATAAACCTTTTCATTTAGCCATTGTTCATTTAAAAATAATATTGTTAATATAACAAGTAGCATTGTTCATAATAAAAAATAATACCTACTGTTCATGTAAAAAATAACTTTGTTCATTTAAAAAGTAGTTTTATACATTTTAAAAATAATTTGTGTTACCCAGGTGTTTCGGAACACTCAATAAACGCAGTGCTAGACTTCACATCTCGCCAAGGGGGTGCGGAGCACCTCGCATTTCCGCCTGTCGTAGCCGGCGGTCACCGGGCCACGCACATCCACTACGTCGCCAACAACCAGTTGCTGCACGACAATGAGATGCTTCTTGTGGATACTGGTAAGGTATTTTTGTGCTAAACTATCACATTTTTTTTTATATAATACCAAGTGATGACGAGCAAGTTGTGCGCCTGGTGGTAAGCGACACGCCTATCTATAACAGTTGCAGTGCCATTCAAGGATTTAAATCGCATAGATCTTATAAGCACTGCTACTGAGCCCGTCAGCAAGAGGCATAACTTGATAAGTCCCATTTGCCTGTAATTTCACCAGCACCCTTACCCTTATAAAGACCACTTTGAGATTTGGTTGAGTATCTGATCCATAGGTTCCCACTTTTTGGCTCACCGCCCACTTAGGCAAGATAAAAAAATTTCAACTCCTCTCACGACAACAAAAATAATTGAAAACACGTATTTTTTATATTAACTTATAACAAAGAATCACAAAGAAAAAAATTATACTATTAAATTAATATAATAATTTTATTATTAAATTATTATTGTGTACTTTATATAGATAATTCATTTTTTTTTTCAAATGCGGTAGCACCGCCGCCGCCCTGGACAGCATCGACGCCTACCAATTGCTTCCGAGGGCTCTTCTACCGTCCCCCTACGACCACTTTGGGAAACTATATAGTAATCTAATCTCTGAACTATTTTGCAGGCTGTCAGCGATGGTTGTACAACTCTGATCTTTCCCGAACATGGCCCGTTAACGGCAAATTCAACCCTTACCATAAGATACTTTACGAGATCGTCCTTACTGCGCAGGTATGTTTATTACATTTTTAAATAGAAAGACAAGAATATATTCGAGATCTCATTAACCCTGTATATATTTTTGTCTTTTATTTATTATAGAAAAGACTAATCCAGCTGTTAGGCGAGCAACGTCAGCCACTGGACCAGCTGTTCGACCAGATGTGCCGGTTGCTAGGCACGTACTTGCAGCAGGAACGGATTCTGCCCCACAATATAGATGGCAACGAACTTATAGCAGTGAGTTTTATTATTAATAATAATAATAACGCACACATGGAAACACAAATAGATAGCACAAATTACACCCAAACTTACGGGAGAAATAAATATAGGCGATACAAATATTTCTCCCGGCCCTGGAATCGAACCTGGATACCGTTCTCGAATCGAAGGGCGCTTTTCTAGCTATTCAGAACATTCTAGCTAAAACGTTCGATTCGGGTTCGGATACGATATCGTTATCCAACAGCGTTTATGGCGTTAGTCGGTGGAATAGATTATAAGAAAAATGAATTTTCTTTTATATACATTTTTAAGACTTTAAAGGCCTTAAACATTGACCTACCAATAAATGGACGTCGGGTTCGCGCTAAGAAGTGTCCGCACCTATAGGGCGTTAATATCGCATAGAAAGCGTCAATCGCGCCACAGTCTTCGTTTGTTCGACTGGCAGCGCGGTTGTCAATTATGCAGTACCATATAATTTTCCATATAATAATAACTTGTAAAAATTACTGCAGTAAAGTGTAAAAACAGGATTTTGTATTATATTTTCACTAAACAAATATATTTAACACAATATCATAGTTATAATTTAAAAGTGTTATTTTGTACAGTTGTTTAGTATTTAATTTGTATATAAATTGATCGTAAATATAAATTACAAAAGCAAACAAAATCATCAAATAGCTAACTGTCCTTTTTCTACACATTGCATGCGCATAAGATGGAAAGAGACCCATTACGTCAATTTCAAGGACCTTATATAAGCTTCTTGGTCATTTTCAATTGTACGAAACCTAAGCGATTGAAATATTTGGAACAAAGAAACTATAGAGTCGCGTTGATTTTAATCTTATTTTTAAAATGACTTTTTATTAAACGTTAGCAATAACTAACAAAATATTGTTGTACTCGTTTTACGGCTTGGGATTACCTATCAGATGTCAGAAAATATATATGCCCGAAATAACGTTAGCTCGAATTTTCATAATGTCAAATGTATGTGTTTAACTGCCTCCATGGCCGAACGGTTACCATGCTGGACTGCCATGCAGAGGTCCCAGGTTCGATTCCCGGGCCGGGAGAAATATTTGTATGGCCTACATTTGTTTGTCTCGTGAGTTTGGGTGTAATTTGTAATTGTCTATTTGTGTGTCCATGGCACCCGCGACACAGGGTTTCCCTAGTGCGGGGCTATGTCGAGTGTGTGCGAGTGTGTGTGCGTTATTTTTTTTACGAAGATTACAAAACAAAAGTTAATTTTATCTTTGTGAAAAGCATCAAAATTGCTCGAAAGCGTAACGGTTTTATTATAAATCGGTTTTCGGAATTACGGTTATTTGAGTTTACGTTTAGTTGGAATATCGGTACATTTCTTATGGTACACGCTTATTTTCACATTTGTAGTAATATTTGTATGTATGTATCCCCAACTCTTTATTATTTCTTTAAGTGAATTTGTACAAATTTCGGCATAATGATATATATAAAAATTAATTAATATTTACGATTATTACTATTGACTACTCCATTACACTTGTGTTCAAGTAATTTTAATTAGGCAGTATTGCAATGACGTTACAATTTAAATTTAAAATATTTCGTTTCGTGTCACCACGTTTGTATAGGTTAACTTCGGATATTTTTTTCGTGGTTTTTGTATTAGACCCGACGTCCATTTGTTGGTAGGTCAATGGCCTTAAATATAGGAATGCATTAGTCTAGCATTAAAATAAATTAATAAAAGGGTACAAAATCCATACTTTATTTAAAATAATAAGAGATTTCCATATTACGTTCTTGATTTGTAAACAATAGGACGTTCGGTAAGTTTCATTCGATAATTATATTCTGAGTAACGTTTGTAGCCTTTGCCGGTCGAGAAGTTCGAGTAAACGTACGGGTGTTGTGAATAAAAATGAAAAGAAATCATTCGACAAGTAAGTTATCGTAAGGTTCTGAGTCGACCACCTGGGATCGCGGAGCGTGGACGCAATACGCAAGGTCGACTGATGATCCACCAATCACGCGGTGGATACGATACTCCCCCGTCTCTACTCGTACCCTGCCACCAAATAGATCTAAAATGCATACTCTCTGCGCATAGGTCATTGTTCAAATGGTTGCCGGTACATGTGGCACGTGTAGTGCAAGTCAATGACCTTTTGATCAAGCATGGCTACCGCAATTATATAAAAAATATTTTTTTTTCGATTTATTTTTTTAGTGATTTGGGTTCAATTTCGGATATAGAATGACTAGAATGCAAATTAACACATTGTATAATTTCTATTGTACTTATTATTTCAGAGTGCATACCGACTTTGTCCACACCACGTGTCCCACTACTTAGGGCTGGACGTACACGACTCGCCACTCGTGCGCAGGAACGTTGCCGTGCAGACTAATATGATTGTCACCGTGGAGCCGGGTAAGTTTTTCGTTGGACGTGTAGCTACCGTTGATTTACGGAAATCGATTTAATATTTAAGTTTTAGTCTCGCATATTGGCGGTGTCACTACAGCACCCTAAAAATGTTTGCAGCTAGGCTTGACGTGCCGATGCTTCGTCATTTCATCCAGGTTCTGGTGAGATGACGGGGTCGACGCTTCGAGCGTAATTTTTTTTTTTAATTGAGGGACAAACAATTACACACATACAAAAAAATACATATTTTAAAATTAACTTATAAATAAACCCATAGTCCCCTAAATATACATTAAATAAAACAAAAAGTAGGTAAACAGACAATCTGATACACAATAAACAACACGGAAGAAAGAAAAGTATGTATGTGGTCTATGATAAACAACTTCAAGTTATGAATAGATATAGCCACAGACATATAGACATAACACATACAACACAAGAAACAAAAAAGTCGTGCACAGGCACAACGGAACAGAACAAACATATTCAGCAATATACGTATTTCGTCTTCCGATAATGTATGTAATAATGTATGTTTTTGTGGTTTGTCTCTATATTTACTAACAAGTGGGCCTTGGATGCCAAATAAATGATTTATTTATTATTATCATTACATATAAATTGTAATAATGATACTGTGTAATTAACAATCACCTGTCGGAAAAAAGTGGCATCTCTGGTTAAAGAATTTGAAGGAATATAATAGTTCGGCTTGCTTATCACTTCGATCTTTAAAGCGGCAGCATCTAAAGTCATGATTGCTATGATGTTGTCCAACCTCTGATAAGAAAGGAACCCCAAGAAAGAGATAATGAAAAATTTATTGAAGTACATATCGCACATGATAGTAAATACTGTCGTATTTTCAAAATTAAGGAATTCGGAAAACACAATTTGAAAATTCAAACACTGAATGGATCTTATTGCGAATCATGTGATTATTTTTATTTATACATAATACTTAATTATCCATGTATAAACGAGAATATATACTCACCGAGAATACAATAGTGTATGACAAACGAATCACTCACTTCCCGTGAAAGATTATTAAACTTTATATACATATAGGCTGAAGTTTATTACAGGCAACAAAAAAGAAGATATTATCTGATTTGGGATCATGATGTTGCGTTTCACATGTTGTGTATTCAAGAATTAATAATTAATGTTACTGAGGATTCAAGTGATGACTGTTGGCTCGGTAAATATCGGAGCTAAAGAGCACGTTGCTTCACCAAAATTAAAAAAAAACAGTCCAGGAAAAATTGCATTTTTTGTCTATGGTTGTATGTCATTAATTAAGGAACTTCCGAAGCATGCTTAGGATAAAAGTTAAATAATCTCAGTACAGAGTACTAAAAAAACCGACTTCAAAAGTACGTTGAAATACGTCTATTTGCTAAGTTTTATTGAAATATCCTTAAATTCGCCACTATACAGGACTTGACACTGGAGATAACAAAAATCGGTTCTCACTACTCAAAGTATATGGAGAGAAAAACGCCTTGGATTGGAGAAATAGCAAAATCAACCATTAAAATAATTGCTCCTTAGTAAAATTTAGGCGCTATTTATAAAAATTAATCTTCATGCGTGAGCAGCCACCCTTAGAGGTGGATGATTTTCTTCAAAATTAAATGGGACCACTATGGAAGAACCCTCTTTCCAACAAAAAAAGAATCATGAAAATCGGTTCACAAATACCGGAGTTATCACGTAACATACATACAAAAAAAACATACAGTCGAATTGAGAACATCCTCCTTTTTTGAAGTCGGTTAATAAATGGTTGGACGGAGTATGTATATATAGCTCACATAAGATTTGTCCCATTTTGAGTTAAGTAGATATCTTTTAATTGTTTCTTATAATATTTTAACGACGGTTTTGGGTGACGTCAGACGAGCGTAATTTTGTAAGTTGTGAGTTCGATCGATATTCGGTTGGAGCGCCAGACGAACGTATTTTATCCAGTTGCTTTTAAGCGTTTATACCAAAGTGACCCCCTTCCCTCACTCCTACTTCCACCCGCGCCAGCCCGTCTCACGATGCGACCGAAAGTCAGTCGTCATTACGCCCGTGAGTCGTCAGATAACTCGTTTTGCGTGATCGTGTGAAACAAACCGTACTTTTATATGAAACCGAATACAACTCAAACTACGCGACTCACAAAATTACGCTCGTATTATATAACGCTTTATTTAATTTTACGTTCAGCAATGGTATAATCTTGAATTTCACGAATTTAGAGTTACAATACTATTGTAATAGCAGTGCGATGTATTGGTTTCATTCGGTATTTTATTTTTTCAAAGCTTGTTTTCTCAACGACACAATTTTGAGTTGCGACAGTATTTAGTTTTGTCTGCCATATGTACAACACAAAAAGATACAAATTAATTTTTACCAGTAACTTAGTAATATCACAATGATAATTTTCTGAATTCGAAATTACTATGATATTTTCTTAGATAGTTTTTGTGATAGTTATTCGATATATATGCAATAATTATTCATTGCTTTGTCTATTTGATTTAAAAAAAAATTTAAAATTCACAAACAGTGAAGAAACTAAAACACGAAAAGCCTGAGAAAACGTTTGGATACGTCTCTGATACAAACAAATGGCTCCTTGTTCTAATAAATACTATAAATATCAATATAATTATGATATTATCAAGGTAAAAAAAACAAATAGCTGAGGCGTATTTGAATCACGCTAGCTGGAAAGATCTCGTTTTAAAATCTTTTCTAAACCAAAATGGACATACTCATTCACATTCACCCACAACTTCCCATAACAGATAAATACATCCACACGCACTCATACAAGACATCTCACACACATGTACACCCAGAGAGAGACACACACTGAGACACGCACACGTACACATGCCACTTATATATACCTATTTTATTTGATATTGTTTAGTATTGTATATAAGTTTTTCTTTTAATTGCTATACCTCCACCTATTACAGTAAATCTCAGGGAAAGGGGGAATGGCTGAAAACCAATGTTGCACATTGACTTACTACTACTATTATACTTAAGCTATTGTATTGTATTTTAATTTTATGTGCAATAAAGAATATTTCATTCATTCATTCATTCAATGTTCAGCAAAAACCTGAGCCATTGCCTTTTGCCTCAGACCTTTATATAAGATTTTTGTATCGTTACTGACGAAATAAATCTTTTTATTATTTAAAATTTTTATTAAATTAATATTCAATTATTTTTGTGAAATTACTCCGCTAGTTTATTATAATTATTAATACAAAGATCGAATACTCAGAAAAACTCCTTCGATCTAGCCGGATTCGAAGCGTTATCTTCTAGCATACCGTGTCAGACGCTATACCGACTAAGCCACGGAACGAACCAGCTTTCCTCACGAATTTTTCTATGTGCTTGTTGTCGTCTCTTTGTATTTGGTTTTTCAACTTTTTATTATTATTAAGATAAAAGTTGTTGTTTATGATGACGTCAGCAATATAGCCCTGGAAGTTTGTTAGTGTTTTACAAATAACCCGGCTTAACTTGTCAGTATTTGACTAATTCAACCAATCATTCAGCGCTATCGCGGTTGTCAAATCATCCAAAGACAAGTTGAAAGTGTAAAGAGTACACGTAAATTAAAATTTCCAAACAAAAAAATTCCATCAAGATTTTCTTTTTTATCCTGTCATATAAATTACCTCAATTGGCGTCATCAATGACAACGTAAATTTGTTTCCGCAGGACTTTATATCCGCAACGACGATCATTCCGTCCCCGCGGAGTTCCGCGGCGTCGGCATCCGTGTAGAAGACGACGTATTGATAACCGACAGTGATCCTATCGTGCTCACCGCCGATGCCGTCAAAGAAATCGACGACATCGAAGCTATTGTTGGGAAGCACAAGGAATACACCCTTCGAGAATAAATAAGAAAAATTAATTTATAACGCCCACTGGTGTTCGTAATAACCGCTAGTGTTCGTAACGACCGCTGGTGTTGATGGAAACCACTGGTGTTCGTAGCGACTGCTGAAGTTCGTAATGACTACTGATGTTCATGACGACTAATAGTGTTCACAACGACCACTGGTGTTCGTAATGAGCGCTAGTGTTCATAACGACCGCTGGTGTTGATGAAAACCACTGGTGTTCGTAACGACCGCTGGAGTTCGTAACGACTACTGATGTTCATGACGACTACTGGTGTTCACAATGATCACTGGTGTTCATAATGACCGCTGGTGTTCGTAACAACCGCTGGTGTTCAATATTTATAAGTTCTAGCTGATTTGAGGTATAGATCTATCCATAGTACAGAAAATATTGAAATTTTACAGTGATTTATATGATTTTTATTAAGCACCTAATTTGAGCGTATTACAAGCCAAATTTAAATCTAAATTGACATTTTCGGACAATACAAAACAAAAAAAAGAAACAGAAATTATTATAAAACAAACGTGTTAAATGGTTTAATAATTCAACTATAGAGGACTATCAGATGGCATTTTTTTAAATCTGCCATAGGTCGTGAACATGGGCTAAAACTACGTTTTAAATACGTTAAAAAATCTGACAAAACAATTCGTCTGGCATAGTGCAATTACGCGTAACTAGCATTTGATTATAAGTTTCATTTCGGAAATTTAGCGGTCAAATCAAATCCGCGTAAATGTTGTGGCATCAAATTTAGCATCATATACGGGAATCTATTATTATCAGTCCGTAGACAACATAAATAAATGCTTACTGTGCAATAGTCGAAGTCATAGGCATTGAAATAACAAAGTAATAACGTTAAATCCCTCTCCAGTAAAATTTGGTTTACTGCAGATACGCGCTGTTTACCAATCACTACGAATACTATAAACTTATTTCAAATGGCATTAATTTCGTTTGTAAAAAAATAAATTGTCAAATAAAGCCCTTGTTCCTTCCGCTCGACTCCCGCAATAGAACCGATTCAATAAGGGGAAAATTTTAATTCAAGCTGAGATAGTACGACTCTTAAACAGTGTATGTCACGTAGCGCCATCTGTGAGAAATGTATAGAAGTTACCTAATATTAACAAAATACCCTTCTTTACAAACTAAATATCAGCACTAAATTTAGTCAAAAAATGGAGTTTACATGAGATTTCATCAAAAATTTCTAACCCAGAAAAATTCCCTGTGGTCTCTATTTCTCTATCCGACACGCGTCCGAAACAATTACGCATGATGCGAATGAATACAAGACAATTATTCGCTGAAAATTGTAGTTAACAATGCAGGTCTTATAATATATTATATTAGATCGTACATTTCACCAATACTTGGCATGCGAATATTTTACACAATGCTTATTTCACTTTGGACGTAGCATGAGCATAGCATAAACAAACTACAACAATTGGAATTTAAACAAAAAATAAGAAGTCAAAAATGTAAACATACAATAGTTAAATTTTACATTTTATGTTATCAAGTAAAAAACCATTAATATTGTAATAGCATTTATAAAAAACTTAGTAAGTATCCAAAATTTATAGATAATAATTTTTTTATTTAATTTATTGTTGAAATTGGATAATTTTAATTTACTAGAACTATAATTTCTTGTTTGATTCATATTGAAACAACTTTTGAAATACGTACTAATAATTTATTAATACAAAGATCGAACACAGAAAAATCGTAAGAAAGTGGCTAACGCTCTCACAATTGCGGAACGTATTGTTGTGCTGCTTCTTTCAAATTTGAAGGAAATATATGCCTTTAAGGGTGGCAAATTAAGGAATTAATTCGGTTTCTTATATTTAACCTACTTCCGTTAACCATTCTCAATAAAACTTGGCAAACGGGTGTAATTCCACAAACTTTGAGGTCGTTTTTTTAAATAAAAATAGTTATAATTATTTGGTTATAAAAGTGAGACTAGACTGTGAGGCTGTAAAAGCTCAAACATTAATAAAAAAGTGTGATCCATTGGTTCCTTAGACTACGTTATTTATGAATTTATTAAGTTGGTTTTGTTGTATAGACGATGACAAAGATTCAACCCTGTTTGTAAATATTTTTTAAATTATTTCTTATTTTATTATTGTAAATATAGAAAAGTTAAAAACATTGGTATAATGATTTGAATATTGAAGTTTGATTTCATATACGATTAAAAATAACAGATTATTGCGTATGTCGTGAAAGTAAAACTCAATTTACATTGCGGCGAAACCATCGAGTATATAATATACTATACGGCGGAACGGAATAAACGCGCCCGCGGTAGCTGAAATGTTGCGACTGTGTCTTGAGGCTGTAGTATTTCGTCAAAGTCACACTGCGCCCGCCTTCGCGCCACTTCCCGCGGATTGGCCTAGTGTCGCCGACGGCAGCTGCGGATTTTCTCGAATAGGTACGCGAGTATTCTCTCTAGTATCTAGTTTGTACGCTACACAATTTACCATAACGTACACTACGCTATATACAACATTGTTACAAAAATTCGCTTCCATTCCTTTCCACCGCAATATACAAACTAGATATGGGGCAAAAACTTGCGCGGAATGCGCGAGTATTCCGCATAAGATTTTGGTTCGTATCTAGTTTGTAGGTTACACAATGAAACGGCGGATTTACTAAACTAGTTTGTTACGACTAGAACTGACTAAATAGCGACTTTTTTCTCGCTAAATATCAAAAATAATAATAATAATAATAACGCACACACTCAACATAGCCCCGCACTAGGGAAACCCTGTGTCGCGGGTGCCATGGACACACACATAGACAACCACAAATTACACCCAAACTCACGAGAGAAATAAATGTAGGCCATACACATATTTCTCCCGGCCTGGGAATCGAACCCAGGACCTCTGCATGGCAGTCCGGCATGGTAACCGTTCGGCCACGGAGGCAGTTTAAAATGGACCGTGGTCACGCTGGAATATGCCACGCAAAGTTCATCATGCTATGTGCAATATCGTTACATAAATTCGCTTCTATTCCATTCCGCCGCAATATAAATTGAGCCTGAAGTTACATTCCTGATCTAGCGGATCTAGTACCTTTTT